CGCTGGAGCGCTGGGTGCCCTCTCTTTAATGGGCAAAGCCAGAAGCCGTGTTCAGCTGATCCCAAACAAACTGGCACTTTCTGAACCACCTCAATGTAAAAGCCTCTGGGGTGGAAGCTGTGGAGCTGCGCAGCAAATTAACCTGCTCTGGTGTAGTGGAACAGAACAGATTCCCCAGGTGAAACAAGAAAAACTTGAGGTGGGGTTATGGTAACTGGTTGGGAGTCTGTGGTACTAATGCTCACCCCTTTTTTATAGGGAGAGAATCAATAAGACAGAAGGAGGGGGAGGGAACATAGTAAATCAAAACTTTTGGCTGCTGTCCCAGCACTAGGTTGGAAACTTGTTTCAACTGTTCTGTAGTCATCGGTACCACTGCCTGCAGCATCTCTATTCTTTCCAAAGGTTTTCACTTCCAAACAGCGCACAGTGGACATCAGTGTGTGTCTGTGACTGGGGACAAACTGATGTGAGGTAAATGATGGTGTTGTATGCATACCAAAAAAAAATATAATGTTTTCCTAAATGGCCCAGCTTATAATTACTTCTAGTTTTAATGTAACAAGAGTAAGTTTCTTCTTGGCTTTGTGTTGGTCACACTCGATTTCCTGTATTTGCCCATTTCCTGTCCATGGCTTGTGTTCAGAGTTGAATACAAGTTGCTAATGACAATAATATTTGCCAATCCCTTCCTGTTGGGGTAAACAAAGCCCATAAAAGATGTAACTTGTGCCTCTCCTCTAGAGACAGGCCAGCGCCTGGCACTTGTCTCGCACCTGGGAGTGGTGAGAAGGGTCCTGCTGCAGGAATTGGTGGGGCCTCTGTGTCCAGGCGATGCTGATATTCACAGGAGAGTTGTGTGAGCAGCAGAATGAGCGAGATCCGACACTCGGCAAACGGGCAGTGTCCCTCTGTCACCCTGTCACACAGATCCTGCGCGCTGCAGCAACCGCAGCTGCCTGCCCTCCTCCCCAGCCGCACCCGGGTGGGCTCTGCTTAGCCTGGGGCAGAGTGACTGCTGCCAAAGGGAGCTGAGCTGTACCCGCCCTTCCCACAGGCAGGAACTTGGATCTCTCAACTGCTGGTGCGCTGGTGGGAGTTTTGTTCTCTTTAAGACTCTTCCCTCTTTCAATCCGAAATCGATCTAGAAGCTTGTGGGAATGAAGAGAGGAGACACTCGCCAAGTGGACGTAGCTTGTGATCACGTAACTTCTTTTTCTCTTGGAAATAACTTGCCTATGAACCGAACCAACTTGCTAATCAGTGATACTGTGTTACTAAAAACAGCACGTGTGGAGTCTGTAACGGGATTATGTAGAGAGAGTTGGTTTTCAATCAGAACTGGTTTGGAAGCCTGTGGTCTGACAAGTTGCTTCCCAAAGCAGCAAGAAAAATGAAGTTGACGTTTTTGCACAGGCACTGTTCTGTGTTGTATCCCTCAGCTGAATCCTGCTGCTCACTCAGGACAGTGTACAGAAGCCTCTGGACATTTCCATGGATCTGGTTTCTCAGATTGTCAAAAACCCACCAAAAGTACTGGGGCATACTGTTAATTCACGTGTGTTCTCCTGAAATGTGTGTGAAGTCCCTGACTGCTAACGCAGCTTCTAGAAGTTCTGTTCTCCAAACCCCTCATTGC